TCTCTCTCTCTCTCTCTCTCTCGCGCCAATGATTATCTAATACGAATTTATCTGTGCGAAGCAGCTGTATAATATCTTGCACATTAGTGGATATTTTTTAACGCTCTCGACATAAACCTATGGTTGTGTGAGTATATCGTAGTAGACATTTTTAATAAACGTTTCGGCCAACGTTGTATCCACCGTACCTCTGAGCGAGTTGCGACGTGTATAATAACATCTACGGTAACGTATTCGTTTCGCTTTCTCTCCAGAGAGGTAAATCAACATGGCAGAACAACAACAAACCCCCCCTGGTTTCATGTCTTTGGACAAGATTATGGAAGTTATACCTCCAGACGTTCCCGAAGGTTCCAACGGCCGTTACGTACAGTTTGCTCCGCAACAGACCACCTCTCGCAACTGGGGAGATTACGTACCTGGACAAGTTAGGCATCAAGTCGCCGGGCAATCCACGCACTCCAATTCCGGAATACAACCGATGGCACCGACGTCTCTGTACGTGCAAGATATGCCCAGCTACGATCGTCCCACCGATTCAATGTACTTTCCGCCACAGACTACGGTCAATCGTCTGGGCATTATCAAGAATGCCGATTTAATTGGTGCCATCGACGTGAAATATGTTAATCTTTTTTGTGCAAGTCCCCCTCAAATTATGGACCAGTCTCAATTGTGTCATCTTTCAAACGTGACGTCTTACTCTAATCAAAATATCAGTCAGCAGTATGGACTCTTCAATGTGTCGACGGATCAACATGTACCGTCGTCCGAGCTGCCAAGTCCAAACTTGAATGGGAAGCAGCTGCTTGATAATCTCTTTGAAAATTGGGTGCCCAACCAATCTGGTACTTACAGTCCGTTTGGCGGCTCTCCCAATATCACGCCTGTACCCCAAGCTGTACGAGAGGTAAGAGAGAGCGAGGATTTACCTCCTAGAAATGACTCGTCGACGCAACACAAGAAACCGAGGATGGTCGCCGAAGTGAAACCTATGCGACCTTCTTACTCGGACGTTTTAACCAAGTCTGCGCCGACTCCGCCCTCTCCGTTGACGGTCCAGCCCGTCAAGCCGAAAGTGGAGGCGCAGGCGGGCAAGAAAGCCTCCAATAAGAATGTCAAGACTAAGAGCAAGCCGACGCTCTTGAGGAGACAGAACTCGTCTGGTAGCGACGATCACAACTCGCCCAAGATGCAAATTCCTCGAAAGGTTTTCGAAAGGAATTCTTCCAATCTTCCGAGACGTTGGGTGTCGCTCGACAACCTTGGCTCACAGTCCGCCTCGTCAGATTCTCGTCAGATCAACGCTTTCGATAGAACCGATCAATTTTATTCCGAAAGGAAGAAGTCTGACAAGAGGTCGTCTAAGAAAGCGGAGAAGAACGAGACTCTCAACAATACCAAGGTACAAAACATTAATCCGAAAGCTGCGGGGAATATCCCGAAACGTCCGATACAGATCAATAACAACTTGAATACAATCAATACGTCCAGTCAGACAGTTTCGTCTGACAAAATGGAGAAGAATCAACAAGTTATTAATAAAGTCGCCAAAGAGGATAAAAAGGCTCCTCTCAAGGAGAAGAATCCTAAGCGCTTTCAGACCGAGAAGGCTCAACAGCAGATTAAGAAGGGGCCGAGAAATCGAAAGAGAGAGAGTAGAGAATCTTCTATTAAAGATTTGTACAAGAACTTGAACAAGTACGCGACTCGTTGGAGCAAAATTGTATTGAAAGTCTTTTACTGGTTACTACATCTTATTTCCGATGTGGTTAGCATGAGCGCCAACCTGGTTATTCAGCTGTGAGTATTGGCGCGTCGAGATATACCAGATATACCGGCAGACAAGCAATCATCTCCTTAATCTTCTGTTTCAGTGGCAAATGCGCTTGGTACCACACCATACTTTACTTAAAGTGTTGGTGGACGTACGTGGCTGTGACATTTTGTAAAATTCGTATCTTTAACGCTATTGGTAGACAATTGGATAATTGGCTCGGTAGTAGTAAATTTGCCTTCTGGCGAAAGGTTAATAATACCAAGAAGAACGAGGACAGAGAAGAGAGCGGCAACTGGATACACGGCGGGCTAGAAGCTAATATCGCCTTACCCAGCACCGGCGAAGAAGCCATGAAGAGATTATTAGCGTGCAAGGGAAAGGATCCCTACAGCATACTCGGTGTTACGCCAACGTGCTCGGACGACGATATTAAGAAATATTACAAGAGGCAAGCCTTTCTAGTGCATCCGGATAAAAATAATCAGCCAGGAGCAGAGGAAGCATTCAAAATATTGGTACATGCCTTCGATATCATTGGGGAACCGGTAATAAAGCATCCGTTCACTCTCGCTATTTTCTCGTAACAGTAACGTAAACAACAATGATGACTTTTTAACATTACACCATTCCATCTCAATTTAGTTATACGTCCATCATTTTAGGAACGTAGACAAGCCTTCGATCAGACTAGGCAGGTCGAAGCGGCTTGGGGCGAACTCAGCGACTTGCTGTCGCAACTTCATCGAAAGATGGAACAGGCAGCAAATACGATACGATGTACAAACTGCGGCTTGAGACACAAACGTATTCCTACGCAGCGTCCTTGTTACGCCGCGCGATTTTGCAACCAATGCAAAATACGTCACAGCGCGAAAGAAGCAAGTATCGAATTTATATTATCGCAAGTATCACCTCCCTCGAATTAATCATTTTAATTGCCCGCGTGAGGATAGGGCGATATCTGGGCAGAGTCTCGTTTAATGGGTTTCCTATGGCACTATTACGCATGCATGGAAGGAGCGGTGTACGATGTGACTGACTGGGCGGCTTGCCAAGCTGGGAATCTCAAACATCTTAGAGCAAATACTCATAGTGTCCAATATAGAATCGTCTTGGGGCAAAGACTACCGTCTCAAACGTCCAGTAGCGGTAAAAAACGGCAACAGATAGATCCCAATACGAGGTATCTTTTAAACTAACGCGCATCTCTTGTCATCACTAAACTCTCTAAACGTTCCTTTTCTCTCTTCATTAAACAGCGAAGCGGATTTCGAGGATTTTCTAAACAATCTCTACAACCATAGCAAATCTGCTGGCGTTAATACATCGGGGGATCAAAATTCTTTCAGAGGTGATAGCAGACGACGCAAAACTAAGCGTAAGAAGTAGAAGATGAACAACCGTTTGACATCGTCGTTGTATAATTACCAAGTGCGCGCATTACATAGTTATAGAACGCATATACATATTATACGCAATCTTAAATTTACATTATCCTTAAACAATTAACCTTAGCATATACGTGTTACGAATATTCATGAAATCATGCTAACATCTGACTGATACGCAATATGAGATTATGAGAAATTGTGTTCACGACAAATGTACGTGTACTAAACATCGTATCGACTAAATAGGCACGTTGAGCAACTAGATGGGAGGGCAATAGCGACAATTTGACAATTTGATTCGGCAAGCGTGACATTTTGCAGATTTGAAAGCATAAAAATATGTTGACTCTCCAAAATAATATATATATATATATACATAGAGATGCCAAATAATGATCCTAGAAACCAAGTATTGTATGCGTCGCAAAACTCTAGATTGAACATAAAAATTTTTATATACGCATTTAGACAATTTATATGATGTAACATTGTGTTCTTCCAGAATGAAAAAGAGTAAGGATATCAGATTACACATTATAAAACCGACAAATTTTATCTCATTTCGTCTTTTTTTTTTAATATTAACCTCGTAATTGAAATACATCAATACAAGTAGTTTCTAAACAACTATCACTCGTAGCTTAAATATAGAATTGGCAAATATGAAGAAGACTGATTTTTCTTTTATTTTTGTTACTTGTATAAGTTATACACATACATATATATTTATATTAGAAACATTTCTGATGATATACTCTGCTATATGAAATAGTTTAGTTTCTTCAAATGATCCTACTAGCATCCTAATTCTCATCTTCTTAAAAAAATTTTTACATATACAGCTATACTGTGAAAGACTCTAGAAAGGAAGATTGGAACATGTGCATATATATGCAATGTTACAGATGCAATCAGCTGCAGCGTATAGAAATTCAAAAATATTCAGAAACATTAGCGCGGACTGAAAATTTCATTTCGACAAGTGCTTCATAGTGTAGTAAAGATAGAAAGATTAAAAAGCAATGAATAATCGAGCATTCGCGTTCTCAATTCAATCGCGGGAATGAAGAAAATTTTATTTTCAACTTGTTTTTCAAGTTTCCGCCCTTGTTTGAATAATTAAGATACGCGCAAACAGTAAAGATCATTGCTTTCATCTCGCGCTTTTCTCATTTCGCATATGTATAGTTAAATAGCGAAATGTAAAATAGTATACTATAGGAGAAAACATTCATTTTATAAAGATTAATTCGATTAGAAAACAAATTAAGAACGAAGGTGTCCATAATACAAATCGTAATTGTTCAACTGCAAATACCTTATGAATTTTAATATATAAGTCATTTACTATGTAACTTTCCTTTCACAGAGCGTCGCAAACACATAAATGAAACAATCTGTTGTGTACCAATGAAAAACATAATAAATAAATTTCAAACCGAGTTACTTTTCTTTCTTCTTACACGTACAAAAAATGCACATTTATCGCTTTGCAGAGTACGTTTCACTATTCACTTGTAAGACTTGGGGGGGGGGGGGGGGAAGATTGATACAGTAGAGTGTGAATTATCTGTCCATCCGGATTAACTGACCTCGCTATTAAACATTATTTCTTTTCAATTAATGTCAGTCTAATCAGTTTGACGCTTTCGTGTGTAATGTGGCATATTCACTCGACACATACTTTTCGAGTATTCGATGAAGAATTTAAGAAAAACAGTGTTGTTTATATATAAATAAAATTTCGATTTAAAATATATTTGTTTACAAAATAAAATACAACTCTGATTATCTGTCTACTTCGATCGTTCGACCCAGCCACCTTGGTTCGAATATAATTGGACTTTTTATTTAAAACTTCAACGGATAAATCAATTCTTACGTTGGCAGATGAAAGAGCAATTTGTAAAAATTTTCCATTTATTATATTGCATAAAAATATTATTTATATACAATATCGAAAATCTTGGCCATTGACAATATTCAATGCTCGTAGATACAAAAATATCAGTACTATCTTTATTATTGTACCTAAGTAATACCTAAAGATATCTCTATTTAATTTCTTCAATTCTATAATAATAGACATCGTTGACGTTATACGATTAATCGAGCATACCTTCCAAAAATACAAGTGCATCCACGTTATCAATGGCGTTTTCTACATCACGCTTTTGAACAGTTTTCTTCTTTGCTTGTGCGGTATACTTGTAAGCTTCCTTTGCAAGCGACTCAATAAAAAATTCCTGTTGAAAGACAGTTTATTATTTCACCGCGCTATCAAGCGCATCGTAGTCAACTATTTCATATTATTGCTATTATACCACTGATTTTGTCACCAGAAACGCAGCCTCTTGATTAATTAAATTGACTTCTGGGTCCATTTTGATAATGGTTTTTATTCTTCCTAGGGGCAGCCGTATCAATTTCTCTCGTTGCTCCTCATCACCGTGCGGACTGTCGTCGATTTCTTCTCGCGAATCTCGTACATTCTCTCCATCAAGCTCGTTTTTATCAACTTGAATCTCCGTGCTCAAATCGTCCAAATCCGAGGTCTCCATGTTGACACGTTACGATTAGAGGTTAAGACTATTTATGAAAATAAAACAATTTGATAAACGACGAAAAAAAAAATTAAACAAATTTCGCAACATTATAACAAGCGTGATTGCATAAGTAATAAATAATTATCCAAATAGCGTGAGTTGATGTTGCAATAAATATAAATACCGATGCAAAGAGATCTCTCCAATAATATAAAGGTACCTTCTCATGGGAACGTCGAGCGGTAACGCGTCGCACAGATTCGCTCATGCTTGACGCCGACTGAACGTATTTTTAAATAACTCCTATATGCAATCGTTTGTATTTCGTATGTAGACGTTTGTAGTGCAATTAGAAAGGTTTGCGAGTCGTTCGTTTGTTTGTAATTAATTAATTATTTTTCCACCGTATACTTAGCGCCAATAGATAAATTAGATAAAGTTTTTATATGGAATCGTTGGTATTACGTATGAAGACGTTTGTAGTGCAATTAAAAAGGTTTGTGAGTGATACAGATAATTTTTATTAAATATTTATTAAATAAAAGTTAGCCGGATTCAAAATTTCATTCATTTCCTATCTATGATACTGAATGATATTAAGACATAAGAATTGCTTGTCACGCCATTTCAGGACGTCTGGACCGAGGGGTTGTG